GGTTACGCGAAATATAAAACCCTTACATTCGAACTGCAGTGACGCTGTGTTACCTACGGTCAATATATCACTCTTTGCCTAACTGTTAGTTTCTGTCAACAACTTGTTTACCTGCAATATTTTGCATAACGCATCAAAGAGCTTCTTTACATTTTAGAGCTTGAAAATTTAAAAAAAAATAATACAGGCGTTTGAGGGAATAATAAGATCACCAACAGGGATGCCACAAAGGGTTTTATCTTTTCGGGAAGCCAAAATAAACGAAAACGTGAAATTTTACACACACCAGTTTGCGCCAGCCCGACAAGTGATGCAAATTTACAAGACAAACCAAATACCCTACGTTCACTGACAATTTGAAAAATACATCACACAATTCTCGTGATTCTCGTGTGAAAAACGTGTTAGGGCGGGCAATAGATTTTGGACTGAGTGAATTATATTACTATGGCAACAACAATCAACACACGTATTGGGATGGATAAAAAATCAGCGTTCTTCTTGAAGTTAAAACTTTGCATATAGTTTTAATTAAATTTCATAAATGGAAATCAACTAACTGCAAATGGATACGAAAAATGTTTTTTTTCAATAATCATATTTTTGTGATTAAATAAAATGTTTTGAAATTTTTCCGGCAATAAATCAAACAAAGAGAGAGTATCTCCCCTGTTTTTATTTTTTCAAGTCGGAAAACAAAGCTAGATTAGTACTCTGAAACACAACAAGGGGTACCTTACAAAGGGATTGATGTCTTTTGAAATATCATCTAAAATATTCAGTTTGTCGGGGTTTGCGCTTACCACTACGCGTTTTGAATAACTATTTGGTAACTACGTTTTTGGTGAAACAGTCGTTTATTTAAAGAATAAGAAAGAAATCCATTTTTCGGCGGATTTTAGTCTTTTGAAATCAACAGGTACAGCGGTAATTTAGTGTGGTATCTTGAAATGAAACAGAAATGCTCGTTTTATGAGTTGGTTTTCCATGATCGGGTAAAAAACGTCTGATCTCGATTCGAAATGTGGTAATAAAGTGTTGCATTGGCCATCATTTTCTTTCTACAACTTCTGCCTTAGAATACAACAGCGGTTACTCATCGAAGAGAACTGTTTCCGACACTAGGCAAATATATAAGTGATCAGCTTGTTTTTGTTCGGTGGTATATTTTTCTTGACATGTCTATGAAGCATTAGGGTAGAAAAACACTCTAACTTGTGTGATTTTTATTCAAGCTCTAATGATACTAACTTTCATTTGAACTGGAAATAGAGCGAGAGCCTCCATGGAATTCAGCCTCAGGTGAACCTACGTGAAAATATTGGAATTGTTCTTGTGACCTGAGTGTTCCCCACTCCAGAGTATGCTTCTGGTTTGGATCAAAATCGCCAAAACAGTTGCACAAATTTGTTGTTAGAACAAGGTGCTGGGATCATCAGTTAATCCTTGCTGCTTTGAGGTTGCCAAATGACATTGTCGATCTGCCTCCCATGGGATTTCTCTGATCTTAAAGGTTATTTTCAATGCAAAATCTCCCATTGGAGGCCCATAGTCTACAGGGTGAGCCAAAATGTCACTTGACTAATCGCAATCAATTGTTGTACTACTTAAATGCGATTAAAATCTTCAGGATGACCGACAGCGGTTTCTTACTCTTTGGAACTCGTCAGAAGTGCACATTTTTTGGTGTCCCTTTCAAGACTCGAATTGCGAACTTTCGGGTTGGGAGGCAGCGTGCTTACCCCTGAGCTACACGGACGATGGTCATCACCTTACGCGAATGGTTCAATCGATTAAGACGGTGAATGTTTGGCTTAGCCCATTCGGCCTTTTTAAAGAGCATCAGGCATTGTTCATGCCTTGGGCGAGGGTTTTAATCTTTAAGAGATCACCAATTCACAACCAGTTAACTGTATTTGAATAAGATGGAATAAATCAAATATTCACTATCTAAATTGTTGTTCTGCTTTAACACGTAAGGCATCATTCATTTAAACCGCTTGTCAGCTTGCCATAAGGTCCGCTTGCCATTGTGTGAACACATTTTCACTTGATATGGGTGTACTCCATTTGAAACTCGTGAGTTTCTATGGTTATGTGCAATAGATTAAAAAGAGAAAATAGAAACGGCGTGGCTTTTCAAAGTTTTTTTCTCGGAGTCTGATTGACTATATTTTTAATTCCGCTCTGAACAGGGAATGTTGTACACTGTGCAAACTTTTGGGCCTTATTTACCCAATAAAATATTTCCTCGTATTAATCTGTGAAAATGAGGTTAAACCGGAAAAGGATACCATCAGAATACCCTGCATTTATAAGCAAGAGTTAGTGGCAAATGTAGATCTTTAACCGCTTCTACTAGAGTTCAGCACTTGTTCCAGATGTTCCTTCACGAAGGTTTACAACAGATTTTTGCTTATAATCGCCAGGTGTCTATCGCAAACCGAACGTTCTTTTATTATCATCTATATAGATGTATGCTTTCCGTATCTGCAGGTTCACTGAACAGTAGTTACCCTAATGTTTGTAATCGACTGTTCGTTGTTGTTTTCTTAAGAATGATTCACATGCGGAAAGATACACCTGATCTTCTTTTGTCGACAAGTGGGAGCCAAAACGTTGATCCTTGCGCTAAAAAATCATCGATCAGCACTTTCAGAGAATTGCCGAATTACGCTTTCGTGGTACGTATTTTGAATCAAATGTTGACCAGCTCCAACAAAAATGAAACTACTGTCCGATACCTTTTGTTGGGCATCATGCAAAGCTTTGAGTTCCAACCCAGTCATCCCGTCACACTTTGTGGCAGCTGTTTGATCGATCGCTTTCCTTTGGTCTCGAAAACTGTTCTAACGGTAGGATGAAAATTTTCCGCTGGGGTTGATCACAGAAAAACTAATTGCTACTCTCTCTCTGTCTCTCGAATCAGCCAATAAACTTAGATACCAGTCAAAGCGGATCGTTTGAACGCCTTGTACATTTATTTTATCTATTCTTCAAAATAAAGCAGAGGATATCATGTCAACCGCGTAAATATTGTCATCCTCAGCTACTATGTCAATTGAAACAATCCATTAGACAGAAATTAATGCCTTCTTGCTCCAATTCTTAGCATTAACCCGGAAGTACTGGTTGTGCATTGTCCCCGCTGCTAAAAGGACTGCACTAATCAACTTTGTTTATGTCTTGTGTAATCAATTCCTTGAGATTCCTTCGTATTCGATCCGGTTTTTCCACAGTTTAGAATTAAATTTTGCCTGTTTGTAGTTTGAAGTTTGTGCGGTACGCCATGAACGTGCGGAAATCCGCTGACGGTTGCTGTACAAATCTCTGAAAAATAATCACCGTTTGGTAAATATTCCTGTTTGTTTTTGAAACTGTGCCCTCCAAATTGGTATCTTCGTTTTACGAACAACGAATGAAACTCTGCATAGTCACTGGGGAAAAGTTCATGCTGGAGAAATGCTTCTCATCTCTCGGGTTGAATGAATTCATTCAGACCTTATTTGTTTATAAGCAATAAACAATCCGTTTGTGGTATTTTCATAAGGCTACCGACGTGACGTTTTCCAGTTATAGAGCCAAAACCCAAACACCAAAGATAACGTCTCCGCTGAGGATGAACTGTTTCTATACCCAAATTCCCTCTGCATGTTAAACAGACAAAAATGGGTTCCATCAAATAGAGAGCTAACGGATGCGAATCGGATGTGATGATAAGGTGATTTTATTTGAACCATGCCCATCATCATGAGGTAGAGGAAAACCGGTCTTCAAAAGCTTCGCATGAATAAACCAAGTTTGATAGATAACTAAACAAATTGCCAACTGTTTTCCCTGTGGTTTCGATAGCTTTCCCCAAATGGCCAAGATTGGTAACCTCGAAATTAGCCTGGTGGTCCAGATAGATGTATCTGTACTCCAGTTGACTGAACCAAGCGTGGAGCGTGATCTGCTTTGTGTTCAGCCAAGATAGATGGAACTCTGGGGTTGCCAGAATGGTGGATGTCTGCTCATGAGGCCAGTAAACATTTTGCCACAGCAAAAAGTCAACTCGTACACCGCGAATCAGAAGACAGAAGCCAAGATCCGGTCTGCGGGTTTTTACAAATAACTTATGTGATCTGAATGTGAGCACGATGTGTGTGTAACGCGCTGTCCATTTTGATGTTGAATCTCTGTGTGGCTCTCTGTCGCTGTATCACTTTGAAAGAAAGAGAAAAGTAGATTTTTTAAATATTCGTTTGCTCCAATGCATGAAAATGATACTAACGGCCGTTCAAATGGTAAACTGTGATCAATTGTCATTTCTGCTCGGGTGTTTTCACCGGAAATAACCTTCCCTTACCTATCAGCAATTCAAGCTTCGCTTCTTTTTGTGAAAAACATTGATTGAAAACACAGTTTCCCCGTCGCAAATATCATTTTAGTAGTCACAAACATGAGTTTGCAAAATGTATCCATAATCATTTCGTGCACATACTGCAGTCACTGTGTTCTTTGTGGTGAATGAAACAGAGAACGTAAGACGAAAGCACAAAGTACAGCGAACAACAACAATACAGCATCAAAAAGCGAAAAATGTCTGTGTGTGTGGCGAGAGAGTGGGGTGGGGTGGGGGCGGGTCAATCAGGGAGACTATTTTAATGTGATCAATTTACCCTCAGAACACGGGATATTCGAAAACCTCAGGTCCTAAGCCCTAAATCCCCGTGAAGCCCGTAAAACATTTATGTGCTGTTTGCACGGATTAATTTTGTGATTGTGAATGACCAGAGCCTCCGCGTACTTCAACAATTGTCTTTGTTAGGCTTTAAACGACCTGAAATGAATGGACTACAGTGACACAATGTTTCTGTTCGAATAGGTGTTGTGTAAATAAGGGTCTTAATTCATTCATTCAAAAATGCCGTAATATTCATCTTTGAAGACATTCAATGAGACGATCATCCATTTGAAAAATCCATCCACCGGTTGGTTTATCTTTTTCTTTTGTGAAGGTGATGGTGAGATGTGTTTTGAGGAATTTGTTCGCCTGCTCTCCAGTGAGCCTACCGATGCCCAACAAGAGACATCTGCCACTCGTGAAGCATTTGAAGTGTTTGATGCAGTAAGTCGGATTACGTTTTTTAACTTTCAGCGGTTCCCAAATTACATTTAGTGACTTGGTATATGCACAATTTATTTTGGTATTTTCTTGACTTTCCCCTTAATCAGATTGTCTGATTGGACGATAGTTCATCAGGTTTTCAGCTGACCACTCTCTGATACGATCCTGAGAACCAAATCACCATTTTGCCCGCAATCTGAGTGTTCAAATGCTTTTTGTTGCTTTCAAGAATAACCTTCACAGTGATTAACAGAGTGATATTCTCTTGTAGATGTTATACAGTTATGTTCTCGTTTGTGCTGCAAATAAGTTGTACACATATCTGTCAGCATCATTTCAGCTGGTAATAAAATATTACTATTAAAAGTCCTCAGTAGTATACTCACGTTCCTGCATTGGGCAGCTGTTCAAGTGCTGCATAGAGACATTAAGATTGACCTACGGAGAAGGGGTTTAGAACTCGAAATTTGGCTTTAAACTCATGATCTCTAGATCGGCGTAATGTGGACTATTCTTCAAAAGGTGCCTTTTTTGGCAACTATGGAAATCTGAGTGATCTGAAATTTTATTTGGTTGATCACTAAAGTGGATGAAAGACACAATCTGTTTCGTGTGCGTCATTTTGAATTGCTTGCCGCCTATTTTTATTATTATTATTAATATTTGTTATTAATTATCGACGGATATCCAAATAAGGACACTCAGTTCTGCGGTGTTCGATGCTGGTATGCTTCGGAACCAAATTAATTCCAAGTTAACATCTTGCATTCTTAATGCTGATTAAATGGCTTTTTCCATCCTCGTTCGCAGGGCGAATTAATTTATCCTACTCCGTATCATAATCTGATACACACAGTTAGAACGCAAGCATGCTACCAGACAAGTGATCAGACAGTTTCACGTTTGATAGCCCCAATATGGCACAACTCAACTAGAAAGGATTTTACGGACGCCTCACCTCACTCATCTTACTACTATCNNNNGCGTCAGAAATGTTCCGAACCTGACAACGGGATAAATCCTTCACTCTAGTGCTGTCTTGTAGCACAAATAGATCCTTGTTCTAAAATATTAAAACTTTGAACGGACTGACCATAGCTGAGTTTTTAAGCGTGTTTTCCCCCTAAAATCTGGTGACAAGCTTATAAGTTAGTTTACGTGTAACAGCTATAAGTCGACGATAACAACATTTCGAAAGTTTGCTAGACAGTTTAAAGTACTGAGCGTGAGTAATGTGTTCCGCACTTAGTAAAAGAGTTGACGAGACAAAAATACTTTAGATAGACAGTATTGTCGCCTGCTGATATTACTGCATTTTGCTCTGAATTTGCCCGGACAGTCAACTGAGGATCGCATGTCTATTGTCTTTGCAAACAGTACCAAAAGCGTACACCTCTCGATGCCAAATGGGAACGCTTACACTTCGGTCAAACACAGAACCAAAGTGTCACTCAGAATCACTAAAACTCGGTCCGCACCTGTTTTCCCGACAAACGGATATATCGCGAAATGTAATACTAAACAACGTAACAGAAGTGTAGTAA